CTGCCCTGGTCCATATGGTCCATATCTGTCAGTGATGAAGATAGGATGGATAGTGTCCATCAACAGCCTCCATCCTGACTGGTACTGGTCTCTGGCGGAAGTGCAGAAAGTTGAGATGACACAAAAAGCTGTCAGTCTGACTTCCTCAATTTTCCCAACAACAACAATATGTTCCTGAGAGTGCTCATAGCTACAGGGTAACACAAAGGAGCACGTAGGAACCAAGAGACTCAGTGGCAGGGTTCCTGATAGAACACATGTCACCATTTGCCACCTTCTCACAGGGCACGCTGTTGGGAAGGGAAAGAATGAGGAATGAGCCCGGCAAGTGCCACAACAAGGCTGGAGCCAGCACCAAGCCGCACTGAGGAAGAACCTGCTTCTAGCAGCCCGAGACATACCTATAATCCTCTGGGCAGCGCTACACACCTTCAGGGGAAATTAAGGCTATTAGTACTTGCAACCTCATGACCATAATAGCCCTTCACACATGTGCACACTTAGGCCAGCAAGAGCCTCAGGGGCTCTGAAAGACTGAACTGGGAAGTCTTTTTAAAGTTGGGGAAACTGAGGCTGAGAGAGAGGTAGTCTGACTTGCACAGGGCCCTGGGTGGTCTTCATGTCTTCCCCCTTCGGAGTGCTAGTGAGTGTTGTGTGTCCAGTGTCGTATAGCTCTGTCTTGGGGTAGCATGTGGCTTCTTCCCTGAAGACTGACAGCCATCTCTGTTGTGACGTCCAGTGGCCTGTCAAAGGCCTCCTCTCTCTGCTGTGTCACCTGCTCATCCAGTTCTGTTGTCCACCTTATCAACTTGCCTTCACAGTTGCCAGCCACCCTTTCTCACTGCTCCCCACAGTCCCAGCACCCCTCAGTATCAGTAGAGACTCAGCCTGAGGGCCAAGTGTTTCAACGATGAAGTATAGTATAAAATATTGACTATTTTAAAATCAGTGTAAGACTAGAGTGTACTTCGGTCTTATTTACTAACATATAAAGAACGAAGTTTGGGTAGTAGCCAGTGTCTTTTCCATCTCTTTCATACAGCCAGTTTTTTAAATAGTGATAGGAAGTTCTAATCAGTATTTTGATATTGAACCATCCTTTCATACCTGGAATGAAACTCATTTGGTCCTAGCCTGTCATTGCCTGTCCTGAGTTGCTCAATCGGTGTGATAGTGGACATTTGCTACCATTGCTGACAGTAGCAAGAACGAAATAACTTAGTACCACGTGAGTGAGTCATAATGCTAACCTTTAACTCTTAATTCTTCTGCTGTGTCTGCTAAGTGCTTACATCACAATTAGGTTAGGTTGGTGGAATGAATTTGGAAGACTCTCTTGGTTTATAAACTAGGGCATTTAATAACCCTATTTAAGACTATATCCCTTGAAGATTTAAAGCAACTTTCTCCAAACAAGAACAAATAAAAACTTGCTCAGGAAGCTAAGTGGACAAGGCATTTATTGTTTAATAAAGACATTTGTTCTACTTCTCCCAAGACTATGAGACCACTGGTATTTTCTAGCTGCTCTTGTGTTAATTATGGTAATTTATGTTTTCCTAGAAAAATCAAACTTTTTGTCCAGAATTTCATATTTATAAGTATGCAATTAATATTCATCTTTATGGATATTATTTTTCTATGATTTTAGTTATATCTCTGCTCATTCTTTATCTTTTTAAGATTTTAACATAATTTCTTTATTGATTCTTTAAGAATTTAACATCATGCACCCTAATTCTGCCTACCTCCCAGTCCCCCTTATCTTTCCCTCATCCTTACAGTGCCCTTCCAAAAAGAAGATTTTTTTTAAATCAAACCAAAATAAAACAAAGCAAGCAAGCAAACAAGCAAACCAGCAAGAACAAGAACAAAATAAAACAAACAAACAAAAAAACCACTTCCCTTCTCCATCTTTCCCGCCTCTGCAACACCTCTCCATTCGTCCTGGTGGCACTGGGAGCAGTGTGTCACACAGTACACCCTTCTGTCCAATCAGCTCTACTAGCAAATGTTCATTGCAGTGAGTCACTGGACTGGTTCAAGGCCTCTGGTTTCTGGTCCACCATCATCACTGGATCCTCACTGAGATATCCCGTGGGTATCGTTCCATGGGACCAGTCCCTTTCTGAGCTCCAGCAGGTCTTAGGTGCAGTAGATGTTAGCGTGGGCCAACCCAAGCCCTGGCTGTGGGCTTGGGTGGTAGCTGAGCTGGTCAGTCCAGGCCACTGGGGATGCCTGCCTCAGGCAAGGGGGCAGAGCAAGCTCCCCTATGCCCTTGCCCTCAGGGTCGGCTCTCCCTCGCCTGTGGTGTGGGTTGAGGCCTTCTCGCACAAGTACAGTGGCCAGCTCTCCCGTGAGGGTCAGGGCCAGCTCTCCTGCTGCAGTGTCCAGTGAGAGGCAGGGCCAGTTTTCCCAGGGCCAGCGAGGGCGGGCCTGGCTCAGCATGGCCCTCTGATTTCATCACACATGGTCCCTTTGGCCCCTGTGGTGATGCTGGTCACAGACATCAGCTCTGAACTCAGCTGCAGCTGGACCACGGACCCAGACACGGCCCTCAGCAGCAGCCTGGACCCATTTATCTTGATAAATCTATGGGATTTGTTTTAAACCTTGACTTCGGTCTGTCTGTTTTATTAGTCTTTTCAGACAAGACTGGGCATGTTCGAGGTGGTCTGGCTATTCACGTCACTTTATTTTCAAATACTGAGCCTTGGTTGTGTCTATCTCTTTGTTTCCCCATTTATTTATTGATTCCTTCCTCCTCCTCACCCCAAGTGGCTTTTATTGCTTTTTCCTGTGACCTTCCGAGTCGAGTCGAGCTCTTTGCCAAGGTACTGATTTTCTGAACCTTTGCTTGAAGGATCAAGGTTTTAAAGTGTGTACCAGCAGCAAAAACTGTTGACCAAACATGACCCAAAGGGCAGACACTTGTCGAAGAATGAACTGGATCCCAGGAGGCAGACACCCTCACTCACACCCTCTGAGTTTCCATGGGCACACACTGCCCTTTTCAGGGCCCTGGGCTAGGGTAGGCCCTGGACTGAGGAGTCTTCTGTGTCCAGTGGACCCCAAGCTAGTTGCTCCTCTTCCTCCACCAGGTCTCAGTTTTCCATCTGCAAAATGGCAAGAAGAGCCTCCCTAGCCCCCCTTGACTCTCTTCTTGAACAGGAACAGAGGGAACTGCTTGGACTCTCAAGACCCTTGCCGCTCCGACAGAATGGCTTCCCTCACTAAAATGTTTTAGCCCTGTGCCCTTCTGACCTTAGGGCACAAAGACTTGACTTGGAGCCCTGACTTTGCAGAGAGATACAGGAAGCCTAATGGGACTAACCTCCTTGATCATCTCTGGTCCTGCAAGCTCGACTGTTTGGTTTTGTCTTGCTCCTCCTTGAGAGGATTGCCTCGTTGCCGAGGATGAGGGACTCCGGGAGTCAATCCTGGGGCGTTTGCTCAACTCTGATACCTCATGTAAAGACACCTGAGCCAGGGTTCCCAGCCCAGAGCCAGGGAAATGATGAGCAGGGGCAGGGGACTCCTTTTGGGGGCTTCTGGGGTTCTTGAAGTTCTGGAAGGTTGGTGAACTGTGATATGGGGCAGCCTCGGGAACGGTCACTCGCTGATGGCCCTAGAAGAGCTGTGGAATCACTCTGGTCATGCTCATGTTCTCATGTTGCATGCCGGCGTGGATTTTTTGGGGGGCGTTGGTTAGTGGTGGCCCTCCTCCGGCCACCGGTGGGGCTGGGCTCAGAGGCCATATGTGTGCAGTTGGTTTGTAGGAAAGACTGAGAAGTGCTCTGAGACCCATCTCGGCTCTGCGTGATTAGCAGTCACTCATCGCGCAGCCCACGGGCGCTTCTGGCTCCCCACCCTCTCCCTATCCTCGGTGTCCACACCCTAGTCCCACACCTCCATCACTTCCCACCACTTCCCAGGGTGGCAGACAGTGTCTGTGCCTCTTCCTTTTAGGGTAAGCTGCCAGTTCTCTCCCCAAGGACAGCGGCTTCCCTTGGAGTCCAGAAACTACAGAACACAGTGCTTTGTCAAGGTCTGGCTTCCACGTCCTGTCACTGGTCTCCCTGTCATATATAACCTGCAGGAGGGTTTGAAGGGACACAGACAGGAAGACGGTTGTGATTTCCTTGCTTACAGCATTCCGTTACCTTGAGATTACTTTCCACGGACCTTTTGGATGTTTAGTTACCCTGTAGACTTATGCACAAAATGCCTACTATGTGCCACAAGGTACCTGCTCTGCCATGGGTCCCTGTGAGATCTGAGCCACTTGCTCCCCTTTTCTGCTTCAAGTCTGTTTTGCCATCTCCAAAATGTCAGCGTGGGCTAGCCAAGGGGAGCTCTCTGTGCTCTTCTTGCAATGATTCTTGAGCAAAGTGAAAGACCCTTAATGGATTGCCACCTCTCTAGCAGGGCCATAGGGATGGACAGGAAGTCATCCCTGCTCTCAAAGAGCTGTGAGCCTCCACGGGAGGGTCTTGACCTCTGTGTACCAGCAGCAAGGCAATATTGGATTGGGAGAAGGGTCCTTCATGTTTACTGAATAAAGGAAGAGATTTGGATCTTAGGATGGAAAATGCAATACAAGGCCAACTATGGGACTGGAGCTCCCACCACATGCTGTTGGGAATGGAGGGGGGAGATGAGTGAGCCTATCTTTGAAGGCAATGGTGGGCTGGGCTACATGTGGCAGGAGAAGGATGGATTGTATGCTGAGAACCAATCAGGGGCAACAAGGTGGAGGCAGAGCAATCAAAATCACATGAGTACACAGCCTGATATGTGGCACTGATATCGTTGCACCTCCCTGAGGGGTGTGTGTGTGTGTGTGTGTGTGGTGTAAGCATGTATGAGTGACCTGGGGAATAGGGCACGCTGGCGTTCAGTTTCCAGAAGTGACAAATGTGTAGAATGTCCGGGGAGCTGTGGCCAAACATCAGGCTGCAGAGATGCTCACCCTGTGATATGTTGCTTTGATTCTTTAGGCCGCGACTTGGCAAGCACGACCCTTCCTGGGTACCCGCCACACGTCCCCCCCGCTGGACAGGGCAGCTACTCCGCACCGACGCTGACAGGGATGGTGCCCGGTGAGTTTGCACTGCCTGCATCTCCACAGCAGGCGGCAGATGGGGTGGCTGTGGGAGGGTACTCTCTGCCCCAAAGCAGCCTGGGTGATCTCCATGCTTCTGAGAAAGCAACCTGAATAAATCAACAGAGGTTGACTCAGCCCCTTCTGCAGTTGGGGCTGCACTGAGGAGGGCATCAGAGGGTGGGTCCTTGTCTGACACTTAAAAAGCCCCTGGTCAGCCTTACTGGGTGCCAGGGCCCAGAAGGGTGCAGGGCCAGCCAGTTGGAGTATCCCCCTATCCTTTCTTCCCTCCCTCAACTTCTCCTCTATTCCCCAATCTGTGTAACATGAACCACATAGAAGCCCCACAAGGTGCTCTTGGTGGCGTTATCCCTGAGTGTGAGAAGTGTATTTTCAAGGCAGATAGGCTGTCGACTCCTGACTTTGCCACTTGAATTAGACTGAACATTGTGAAAGCCTTAAAACCTGTCCCTCCACCAGTGGCATGTCAGTTTTGACACCGAGAAAAGAGACCACCATTCCTTAAAGGATGCCCTCTGTCCCCATTATCCCATGGCCCAGGGTGAGCCCGCAGAACCGTGGGGCTCACCCAGATGGAGATGAGCTTCTTCTGGCTCTACCGCAGTGCTGTCCTCTTAAAGATGCCCTAATGACCTGTTTGTGAACCCCTGATGGTGAACTCTTGGTAGGGACTTAGGGACTTGAACAAGCTTGAGTATAAGGTATATAAGGCTTCACAGATGTGTGTGTGTGTGTGTGTGTGTGTGTGTGTGTGTGTGTGTCTTCACATGACAACAAGTGGAGCCAATTAGGGCACAGGCAAGTGGAGTTTCCCACACCGCATACCCTGGCAGAGAATCTCAAGGAGCCCCACAATTCAAAATTCCATCCTGGCCTAGTTGCGTGCACAGTGTATTTAACAAGGTAGGAGGATGGAGCATATTTCATTTAACGGTTTGTTAGCTTGATTTATGCCTTTTAAATATGAGACATATGGGAAATGGCCTCCACGAGCACTCTTGTCCTGGGCTTTGCCAACACCTGGGAGGCCTGCCAGGTTGCACAGCGAGAGTGTTGTCTTTCCTGCTGCGAGGATGGCCCTGTGGCGGATGCAGGAGAAACACAGCGCACAGGCTCACAGAGGTGGTGGGCGCGCACTGCCACCACCACACCCTTGGGCTCCTCTTTCTCCAGCCTCTGGCAGTTGGGGTCACAGACCACGTTCAAGAGCGGCTCTTTGCCTTTCTATACACTTCCGTATCAACAGGCAAACTCCTTTCTCTGTGCTTACGTAGAACAACGCTGTCAGATGGGCTAGCTCGAGGGCATTACCCCATTCTCCAAAATGGCCGGGACCCAAAGAAGTTAGTGGACTTCACAAGGCTGCTAATGAGCTTGGCCCTTAGCAAATGGGCTTCCTAAGTCCCCTAACCCTGGCTTTTCAGGAGGAAACTGCTGTAGCAACCCTGGGTCCTGGTCCCAATTAGAGTGGATTAAAGTCGCCTTACCTTGATGGCCCTCCCAGAAAACCGCCACTTCCCCCAGAGACCAAGTTGAGAGAGGCAGCAGAACCTTTTCTGGTTTATCAAAACAAAGTAGCCCTTGGACCCTGTCGTTCCTCCAGCCACAGTATCAGGCCCCACGTGCAAATGGCTATGGACCTGACCGAGGCCCCAGTGGGATGGTGGTAGCTTCTCATCCAGCAGGGCAGCGGGAGTCACCGTACAAAGCCACAATCTTCCATCTGTTGCAATGGGAACACGGGACTTCTGGGACTCCGTCCTCCACCGCAGAGGGGAGTTGCACAGAATTAAAGGGAGGAAAGCAGAATTACGGTTGGGGAGCCTGCTGTTCAGGAACCCTGAATTCTTCCTTCTCCATATCTCTGCCTGTGGCGTTCGCCTTGCCAACAAGGAAGATGCAACACCGGACTCTTCTTACTGCAGTTTTATTCAGGACTTTTGAACAAGCTTTTCACCCTCTCGCCCCGGGCAGAGCCAGCCCATAGCTTAAATAACCTCTGGGTAGCCAACCCCAGCAAGCCACGTGGGTAATGCAGATAGGTCCAGCAACGCGGAAGCAAGCCAGAAAGTGTTAGCCATATATGGAGTTGTTCACACCTGAGAGCACTCACTGTCAGGAAGATGGAAGGTGAAACCAGTGCCACCTTTAAGGTGTGGCATCACGCGGCTCTCTACATCTGCCCCTGCTTCCTTCCGCATCACCACTCCCTCCTCCTGACTGGCTCCCGGCTTTCTCTTTTCCCAGGCTTTCTATTTTCCCACACTCGCAGCAGTCAGTGCCAGATCAAGACAGCTTAGTGCTTGGTCCTCAGTGTCCTAGCCACTGCCGTGGAACGTTTCTACGCTGTCTCCAAACCTGTTTCTTGGATGGCCTGTCTTCCCAGCACAGAGGGCCTTGCCTTTCAACAGAGCAGTGGTCTAGCTCCCTCCCCCACCGTACATTGTCAGGGTCTGGCTCTTGCTTAATTTGTGGGCCCCTCTTCCAACCCTCCCTTTCCCCAGTCCCTCATCTCCTTCATTCAGTATCCTGGGCTGGACCACTTACCCCCTTGACCTGTTGAGATCCAGCCTCAGTCTCCAGGTCTGAGCACAAACGTCACTGCCCACGAGCTTCCAAGATGGTCCCTGCTGGGGCCACTAGTGTTTTGTGTTCCATCAGCTGTGTTGTGCACACTGCTCTCACTGGAGAATTCTTAGCCTTGGGTGCCATCATAGTACCAAGCACGTCCTAGGTGCCCTCTGTGAGGGTTGGCTAGGGGATGGTGGCAGAGTGAAGCAGATAAACCAGTGCTTTAATTTCCTGTGACAAGCAGAAGAAAACACCCAATGCAGTGTTCGGGGTAACAGGAGAATTCCCTCACATCTCTGTAACAAGTCTGAAGTTAGGATCGCTGGGCCAAGATGCTGGTGCCAGCAAAGTGCCACTCCCTGGGAAGCCCTGGGGAGTGGCTGCTCCTCAACTCCTCCAGCTTCTTCCTTCCTGGCGCTGTAGGGCCAAGTCCTAGGGCCAAGTCTCTACACTGCCCTTCTCTTCTCTCCTACACAAAGGCACCCAAGTTCCCACCTTCTTCCCGTCTGCCAACCTGTCTTGGCACTCACAGGTTTCACTCAGGAAGCCTCACACGTCAGGTTCCAGGGACCGGGACGAGACTACCCTGTGATCTGTTTGAGGGCTTTGATCTTACATTTGTTCAGATTTCTGCTGCTTAACCTCGCGGGGTCCTAAGCCCATGAGGTATTTATGTTGGGATCCAGTTCTCACAGCCGTGCCTGTTGACGTGTTCTGAGAAAACAGTTGACATGACTCCAGGGGAGTCGTTATCTGCTTTTCCCAGCACTGAGGCGGCCGCACTGGGATGGATGGTTTCACTGTGTGAATCAGTCTCCCATACTTGCTGGGCAATCTGCAGGGAAACCGGAAACCCCATGACTCCCTGCCTCTGTGGGCTTTAGGAAATGCTTGGCTGTTGCTGTTTCCTACGTGTAAGTGGAGGCTTTCGTTTCTAATATTCGCTTTCAGGGCACACACAAGAGGGACTGCCTCCAGGGTACACTCAGGCAGCTGAACTTTGGGCTGTGAGAAAAAGGGCCTGGTGAGTTCTGTGTTGAGTGGCAGCTTGTTGGCATGCCCTGCTTCCTGGCCCTGAGGCTGTTGCAGGGCTGTCTGCCCCTCCTGCTGCCCGGCAGTGTCCTGTGAGGAGCTCTGAGGTGTTTGTGGAGTTCCTTCCTGCAGCTCCTTGCAGATTCGTTACATTGACAAAAGCAAAACCCGCACATTCTACCAGCTTAAGGTGGAGACAGTTTTCAGTTCTTATTTTCATCAAGTCTCAGCAAATGCCAAAAGTTTTGCACCAAAGATTCCACAGTGTCTTGATCGGTGAGTAAGTACTAGACGCCTGCCTGAAGATGTTTGGGCAGCCCCACAGATATTGACTTGGCATTTGGAACTCTTAAATACGCTGGGTGGCAGGGAAGGGAGTTCGCTGCCCTTTGGCTTCAGTGAGTCTGAACACGGGGTAAGCATCTTTGAGAATCACTGAAGGCATTAAGGGCTCCTGCCCAGCCCCTTGTTTTGCTCCTGCTCTGGAGCTTTAGGAGAAAGTACCAGCAGGACAGTGTTCCCATCTTCCCCAGGCTGCAGGGGATACAGAAGCTGATGGACAGGAGACCTGTCGGGGCAGTGTGTGTGAAGGAGCATGACCGGTCCCTGTGGGCCCCGTGGTCCCTGTGGGCCCTGTGGGCCCCGTGGTCCCTGTGGTCCTGGGCACTCTAGTTCTCAGTAGTAGTCAAGGATTGAAAAACATGACTTCTAGGACCCTTATGATGAAGTTGTACACTGAAATGACCGTTATGGTCTCTGAGGAGGTGATAGACAAGGACGAGGACAGGAGGGGCCTCTGAGGCCAGAAGGGAAGTCTGGAGCAAGCTGCAGGGTAGGGCAGAACTGACTGTGCTCTGCCCTGATGGCGAGGGACCTGCTTCTCTGGCCGCAGCACCGTAGCTCTCTCAGCTCCTTTCTTCCAGCCCGCCTGGCTCTTGCACACTTTTCTGTTCCCCTACATAGACAAGCCTTCTCCAGTCACCCACGTGTGTTAATTTCCTGTTGCACCCATAACAAATGATCTTAACCCAGTGACCTAAAACAATGGAAATGTTTCTCTTCCAAGTCTTGAAGTCAAAAGCCCAAAACAGTCTAATTTGGACTAACGTCAGGGTGTTGAGCTTCTTCTGGACTCGCGGAAGGGAGGGCTGTTGTCTTTCATTCTCTAGCTTGTGGATACTGCAAGCATCCTTTAACGCATGGCCTCATTGTTTCATATTTAAAGTTGGCAGTGTGGGGCCTCATCATGTGCGCTGCCACCTTTCCCTCCCAGACCTCCTCTGCCTCCTGCGAGAGGAGTCACGTGCTTACCTCGGGTTTATTGTCCAACCAGGCTAATTCCTTCTGCTTCAGGACAGTTCGCCGGCGACCGTA